TTTTTATTAAACATAATTTATTAAAAAATAAATTATTTAGTAAAAAAAAAAGATACCACTTTTGGCGACTAAAGTTGTTTTTAGTCGCCAAAAAGCTCACTTTTGGCTACTAAACATGTTTTTAGTCGCCGAAAAGCTCACTTTAGGCTACTAAATTTTTTTTAGTCGCCAAAGGGCCTTACTTTTGGCTACCAAAATGTTTGTAGTCGGTAAAAGCCTCACTTTTGGCTACTAAACACGTTTTTAGTCGCCAAATGCCTCACTTTAGGCTACTAAATTTTTTTTAGTCGCCAAAGGTCCTTACTTTTGGCTACTAAAATTTTCGTAGTCGGTAAAAGCCATATATTGGCGACCAAATAGATTTTTAGTCACCAATACGTATACATTTGGCTACTAAATTGTTTTAGTCGCCACTAATTCCATTTTAGTCGCCGAAAATGCTACTTTTAGCGACGAAAGGGGTAATTTTAGTCGTCAATTCTGCTTTTTCTTGTAGTGGTACCCTACTGCATTTCCGATCTAAGGTGCACAACTAGCTCGGTATGCCACAGCATGGAGGACGAGAGAGCTTCTGGCCCCCGCTCTCATTTTCAGTTGCACCCTCTCTGATGAGTGCATAGCTTGGTTTGATGAAGAGGCGCAGGTTGGGCCTACTTTGGCATCAGAGGCTTCCACAAGCTCTGGGAGGGGACGCAAGAACACCTGACTAAGCCCTGAGTTTATTGCTTTAATCAGTACTTTCAAGTTTTTCTTTATGAATGTAATAAAAAGCAACTTCAATTTGTATTCAAGATTAGGAGAACTTTGTACTGAAATCAATGTAATTGAAGGTTGTGGGTACTGAAAATTTTTCGTTTGGTCCAAAAATGGTCTAAGTTGTAAAAAGATTAATTTGAGAAAAATCAACTTTTGTTAAAACTTTTCAAAACCATTTTCAATATGGATCACAACTGGACACACCCAAGATCTATCACTGAGATGCACAACTCCGGATCTAGGCAATTGTAAAGTTTCCCATAGTCTGAATAGCACTGCACTGGAGATCACAACCGAGCTCTTGAATGCAGAATAGACAAAGATGACCAACATGATCACATGGACAAAGTCGATTTGGAAGTGTTTATGGCTGGACTTCAGAATGAAGTTTCTTACATATCCCATAGATGGGAATCAAGCCTGACGTAGTTCCGATTTGGGTTCACTCATGTGTTAACACTCTCCTTTTGCGGTCTAACTTTTGCCAAGGCCATCCTTTCTGGGTTTTCAACCTTGCCAGCTCAGTTTTTATTATTTCAAATTTTTCATGCTTTAACTTTTGCCTAGATCACCCTTTCGGGTTTTCGGCCTAGCGAGCCACTCAGGAAAAATATTTCTTCAACTTGTCCATGTTGATCGGCTAGGAGAACTCTAGGCCATCTAGGTCCATCAGAACGACAACTTCTCCCGACCAGATAGACTTGATAATGTAAGGGCCAGTCCAATTGGGTTTGAACTTGCCCCTAGGGTCGTGGATGGGAGCTCGGTTGTCTTTGAGCACTTGATCCCCTTCCTTCAAATTCCTGGACTTAACCTTCTTGTTGAAAGCCCTGGCAATTCTCCGTTGATAACCCTGAATGTGATACAGTACTTTCAGCCTTCTTTCATCGAAGAGCATGAGTTCTTCGAACCTGCTTTACTGCCAATCTGCCTCTGATATCTGACACTCAGCCAATACCCATAATGACGGAATCTCAACTTCGATAGAAAGAACAGCCTCCATCCCATAGACCAAGGAGAACGGAGTTGCCACAGTAGAAGTTTGAATTGAAGTCCAGTAGCCTCAAAGAGCAAATGGCAGCTTATCTGGCCAATCCCGGTAGGTTTCCACCATCTTCTACAGTATGTGCTTGATGTTCTTGTTGGCGCCTCAACTTCTCCATTGGTTTGCAGCCGATATGTAGATGACTTGTGAAAAGCCATGTTGTATTTCTCTAACAAGTCGATCACCTCCTTCTTGAAGTGGGAACCATTATCTGAAATATTCTCATTCGGGATCCCGTAACAGCAGATGATGTTGTTCCTGATGAACTTAGCAACATGCGATGCCTTCAACACCGCGTAAGATTGGGCCTCAACCCATTTCTTGAAGTAGTCTATCGCTACCAAAATGTACTCATGCCCATTGGACCCCTTCGGAGTGACAGCCCCAATTACATCAATCCTCCAGACTGAAAACGGCCATGGCGAAGTCATGTCTGTAATAACCCGACCCTCGTATATATTTCTGGTATACTTTTAGTCCCTTATTCTGTGCATTTAAATGCTTACTGTGAAATTTTATGTGAAATTAAGTATAATTAAGTGAATCCTATGATTATGGATGCATGTCTGTCTAACAAGAGAAATATCTGTTACAATTATAATATTCGGATCAGAAATTGGAAGCCTTAGAAGCTTAATTATCTGAAATGGACTTTATATTTATGATCAGCATGATTTTTAGGTCATAATATGATTTTCTGTGAAATTTCAATTTGGAATGATTAAACTGATTGATTTTCGTCTTTATTCACTTTTATATAAAATTAGTTCTTTAAACACTTGACTCATGATCCTTAACTCAAAATATCTTCTGAGAGAGAGTTGGAAAAGAAGAGTTAGGGAAGAAGAGGAGAAGTTTACCTGGGGAGGAAAATTGGTGAAAATTGAGAGGATTGGTAGAGATTTGAACCAAGGTATGTAAACCTCACCTTATATAAGCTTTTTCTTGGATTTGAGTAAGCATGTCTTTCATGTGTGAGAACTAGGGTTATGTTTGAAGCTTTGTGTGTAATAATGGTTTAATTGGAGAGTTGTACTTACCATAAGATTGTCTTGGGATTTAATTTGAGTTAAATGAAGGAATTTCATCTTGCTTCCTGGTTATTTCATGTCAAAACCTATCTATGTGCTAGATTTTGTAGTTAGATGGCTATATACATATGCATGAGTGGAAAACCACGTGTAGTGGAAACATGAAGGAATTGAATGGTAATTGATTGTGTTATTGAATTCAAAATGATTAAGGACCTAAGTAAGTTTGTGAATAATCTTTATGTAATTTTGAGTTATATTCTTGTACTAAATTCACCTATTTTAAGCTTTGTTATATATATTTACCAAGAGGGGCTTTGTTGGAATTTCGGACTGCACTAGACAGAATCGCCGCATGTGCGGGGCTTACAACCGCACGTGCAGGAAGTACTGCCGCACGTGCGGGGCTCACAACCACACGTGCAGGAAACAGGGGATTTTGAGAGTTGGCTACTGGAAAAAAGCCTCGTACGAGGCTTCACTGCCGCACGTACGGGAACCCTTGCCACACGTGCGAGGCTCACAGCCACACGTCCAGCCCATGTTGCAAAATTTCATCTGCTCTGTTTTACGTGTTTGACCCTCTGATATTTTTGAAATCTGTATTTGATGCCTTTTGATGTTTGTAAAATTTATTCAAAGCGAAACAAGTCAGAAAATGAGTCAACAAGGAAAACGGAACTAATTTGTGAGTTGTGCATGTGTGTAAGTCACAACCTGGGAGGAACTAACGCTCCACTACATCACAGTGAGTACTAGTACTATAGTTGTACATTTACTTACCGTTAATAATTCTTATTATTAACGCTCTATTCTTCACAAGTTAGTTACATTAACATTTATAAATGATTAGAAATTCTGTGTACATCCGTATAACTCTGGAATCACTCTGCTCTGTTGATAGCTGGGCCCGAGGCCAATCTGTAAAATCTGTTAGGCCAGAGACCGATCTGTAAAGTCTGTTAGGCTAGAGGCCGGTCTATAAAATCTATTAGGCCTAAGGTCGTTCTGTATGTTACTGGGTTTAAAGCCACTATATTTAAAGACTGGGCCTAAGGCCGTTCTGGAAATAGTTACGGAGTAAGTTTAGTCATATGTTCTCTGCATTTATATACATTATAATTCAAGTTAACCACTGAATTGTTTAAGTACTATTATTCACTGAGCCTGGCTCACTCTGTGTTATGTCTGCTTCTATAGGTAATCAACTTGGAGGTCAGTCTTAACCCATGATGCTGCTTTCTCTTTTGTCAACCTTAGTGTGTCTAGGCACTTAGGTGAAGCCGTTCATTCTTGTGAAGTTTTGCTAAGCTTTTAGCTTTGTACTCTGATTGTCTGCCTCAGGTTGAAATGTATATAACCCCTTTCTTCACCAATGCTTTTGTTATACGCCCAATCATGGGGCTGGGTCTGTATATGTGTATGTATATAACTAATGCTCAGGTGTATGTTTACTGTATATTATCTACCTAATGCGATGTTTGTGATCCTAGCATATTAGTGGTAGTTCAGTGGATATTATTTTATGTTATTAAATGCTTCCGTTCAGGCCCCATAAGTTATACATATCGGGTTTTATGTCTATTTTCGAAGTGGTCATTCCCAAACTTTTAGGGGCGGGTTCAGGGCCGTGACAAGTGGTATCAGAGCACGAGTTGCTACCTCACACACGAATCCATTGTGCCCTAGGATGTTTAGAAAAGACTTAGGCATCATGCATAATATTCTGAAAGCATATGGAAAGATTGATGGCAATGTTAAATGTACTCTGCTAACGCTAATGATTATGATCCATGTCTATTGCATATTTCTTGTGTATATTGTAATTGATTGTCATATAGAATATGGTGAGAACAAGAACGGAAGACCCGGGAGATGCTACTTCTGCACGGTTGGACAGAATGGAAAGAATGATCATGGAAATGGCGGAGACTTTACAGCAGCAACAACAACACCCATAACCATAACCGCCACCGCCACCGCCACCGGTACCTCCGCCTGTGGAACAAGGTTTTCATGCTGAGGATCGAACTATCACACTTATGAGGGAATTTAAGAACATGAAGCCACCCTCATTCAAGGGAGGAATAGAATCGATGAAAGTTGAAGTGTGGGTGTTGGGAATAGAAAAGCTGTTCGAAGTATTTCCTTGTACCGATGCCTAGAAAATGCAACTTGCTGCCTTCACTCTTGAAGACGAAGCACGGAGGTGGTGGATGTTTACGAGAATTGTGCATCAAGGCTTAACATGGGACATATTTTTGGAACTGTTTTATGACAAGTACTTTCCTCAAAGTATGCGAGACACGAAGGTGACAAAATTTGAAACCCTCAGGCAAGGAAACAAAACCTACATGGAATATGAAGCCCAATTTGCAGAACTAGTTTGGTTTGCACCTCATATGGTGGATATGGACTATAAGAAATCGCGGAAATTTGAGGGCGGACTACGAAATTCCATCCTTGACCGAGTCAACATGTTGAAGCTACCCACCTATGTTGATGTGTTGGAGAGAGCTGTTATAGCAGAGGGAAACATTACTGCTCAAAATTGGATTTCCGAGTGGAAAGGAAAGAGGCAGAACATTCAAGTATCAAAAGGGTCAGCCGCTCCACCAAACAAGAAACAAAACTCAAGGACTTCTAGTACTTCCACCTTTGCTTCAGGTTTAACTCCTGTTTGTTCAGAATGTGGAAAGAAGCACTGTGGGACTTGTTATCGGTTCTCTGGAGCATGTTTTCGATGTGGCAAAACATGTCATCTAGTAAAGGATTGTCCTCAAAGGAATCAACAAAATGGCAATAGAACTGCTACAAGCTCAACAGGGTCTACACCAGCTCCCAACACCAAGTCAGCTGCCAAGCCTGTTAACAATAAAGACACCGCAAGACAAGGAAGGGTGTTTGCATTGGTTTTGGGAGATGTGCAAAACGCTGCAACAGTGGTGTCAGGTACATTTATTGTTCACGGTCATTCTACTCATGTATTGTTTGATTCTGGCTCTACCCATTCCTTTGTGTCAAAACTATTTGCTCAAAATTTAGATAGATCTGAAGAAGTATTATCCTATATGTTATGTGTGTCCTCACCTTTGGGGGATTCTTTGATCTGTACCTCTGTATATTTTGCTTGTGAACTCCTAAATGGGGATATTCGAGTATATTCCAATCTGTTACCTCTTGACATGACTTATTTTGATATTATTCTGGGAATGGACTGGTTGAGGGAATATGGTGCAACTATTGACTGCTTGACTAAGCAAATCAGTTTTCATCCTACGGGACAATCAAAATCTTTCAGGGACATGGAGTAACTTCTCCACCTTATTTGATTTGCGCAGTAAAGGCTTGTAAACTAATTCAGAAGGGATGTCAGGGGTATCTATGCAGTGTTTTGGAGGGATAAGTGAGGAATGGGAGTACCGATATAATTCCAGTTGTTTGTGAATTTTCGGATGTTTTTCCGGAAGAATTACCGGGGGAGTTAGTAGACCGTGAAATCGAGTTTACAATTGAAGTGGCACCAGGAACTCAACCCATTTCTAAGACACCGTATAGAATGTCACCAGTTGAAATGAAGGAATTAAAGGTTCAGTTACAAGATTTATTGGATAAGTGGTTCATTCGCCAAGTGTCTCTCTTTGGGGTGCACCAGTTCTGTTTGTGAAAAAGAAGAATGGAACACTCTGATTATGTATAGATTGTAGGGAACTTAATAAAGTGACAATCAAGAATAAGTACCTGTTGCCTCGGATCGATGACTTGTTTGACCAGCTTCAAGGGGCACAAGTCTTTTCAAAAATTGATTTATAGTCCGGATATCACCAACTGAAGGTCAAAGCTGATGATGTTGAGAATACGGCTTTTCGAACCTGGTATGGTCATTATGAATTTCTGGTTATGCCCTTTGGAGTTACTAACGCACCAGCAACATTTATGGATTTAATGAACCGTGTCTTTAAGCCCTATCTAGATGAGTTTGTAGTGGTATTTATTGATGACATCCTCATTTACTCGAAGAATACAGAAGCTCATGAGAATCATCTTCATGTAATTCTTCAAACACTCCGAGAAAAGAAATTGTATGCAAAACTAAAGAAATGTGAATTTTGGCTACATGAAGTTGCATTCTTGGGGCATGTGATAACAAAGCAAGGTGTATCTGTTGATCCGCACAAGATTGAGGCAATTATAAATTGGCCAACTCCTACCAATGTAACTGAAGTGTGTAGTTTCTTGGGATTAGCTGGGTACTACTGGAGATTTGTTCAAGATTTCTCCAAAATCGATGTACCACTTACTCAATTGACTCAAAAAGGAGTTGTGTTTGAATGGTCAGAACAACGAGAATCCGCCTTCCGAGAATTAAAAATGAAGTTAACTACAGCTCCAGTTCTTGCCTTACCATCTGGTACCGATGGATTTGTGATCTACAGTGACGCTTCATATAATGGACTTGGCTGTGTGCTGATGCAAATTGGAAGAGTTACCACTTATGCTTCCCGACAGCTCAAACCCCATGAAAAGAATTATCCCACACATGATCTTGAGGTAGCAACAGTGGTCTTTGCATTGAAGATATGGCGGCATTATCTGTATGGGACTACCTGTGAAGTCTATACTGACCATAAGAGCCTCAAGTACCTTTTTATGCAGAAGGAGTTGAATATGCGACAGTGACGATGGTTGGAACTTATTAAAGATTATGATTTGTAGATTCATTACCATCCTGGTAAAGCCAACATGGTTGCAGATGCGCTTAGTCGGAAGAATATGGGAAATTTGGCAAATTTGTTTACGGAGCAAGAGGAGTTAGTGGTTAAATTGGATAAAATGAAGGTAGATCTTGTGCTGCGTGGACAGGAGGCCATAGTAACAGCAGTGATGGCCCAACCAACATTAATTGAAGAAATCAAACTACGTCAGAGGGAAGATGAAACTTTGAGAAAGATATATGATGAGTTAGAGACAAAACTGAAACTGGGATTCAATTTCGAGAATTCAGTGCTCAAATTTCAAGGCAGATTATGTGTTCCCAATGTATCAGAAGTCAAGCAGAAATTGATGGAAGACGCTCAAGCCTCGAGATTTTCATTACATCCTGAAAGTACTAAAATGTACTGTGATTTAAAACAAAATTTTTGGTGGCCAAGTATGAAAAAGGAAATCGCAGATTTCGTCTCCAAATGTTTGTAGTGTCAACAAGTAAAGGCAGAGCATCAAAGACCGGCAAGGTTACTGCAACCCCTTCTAATCCCGAAATGGAAGTGGGAACATCTGACCATGGATTTTGTTATAGGGTTACCACGGACTCCTCAGGGTATGAATTCTGTATAGGTCATTGTGGATCGATTAACTAAGTCCGCTCACTTCCTACCTATGAAGACTCAGTATAATGCATATAAACTTGCTGCGATTTATGTAAATGAAATTGTAAGACTCCATGGCGTTCCGGTTTCAATTATGTCAGATAGGGATCCAAAATTTGTTTCGAGATTCTGGCAAAGTCTACAGGAAGCAATGAGTATAGAATTGAAGTTTAGCGCAGCCTTCCACCCTCAAACTGACAGACAATCCGAGAGAACGATACAGACACTAGAAGATATGCTCCGAATGTGTGTTATGGATTTCCAGGAAAGTTAGGAAACTCACCTACCGTTGGTAGAGTTCACGTATAATAATAGTTACCATTTGAGTGTTGGAATGGTACCCTATGAGGCTCTGTATGGCAGACCATGTCGCTCCCCCGTGTGTTGGGCCGAAGTCGGAGATAAATCATTGCTAGGGCCCGAAATTATTCAGCTGACAACTGAAAAGGTTAAGATTATTAGAGAAAGACTGAAAACCGCCCAAAGTAGACAAAAGAGTTATGCGGATAATCAACGAAGAGATTTGGAATTTGAGGTGGGTAATTATGTTTTTGTGAAAATTACACCTATTAAGGGGCATCCAAGATTCGGCAAAAGGGGTAAGTTAACACCCCGATACGTTGGTCCATTTCCAATTTTGGAGAAAGTGGGTTCGGTAGCTTACCGAGTTGCTCTTCTGCCCAGTATGAGTCAAGTACATGACGCGTTCCATGTCTCTGTGCTTCAAGGATATCTTCCAGATCCGTTTCATGTTATTGATCCCTACCAAGTTGTTCTGGATGATAAGTTGACTTATGAGGAAAAGCCAATTCGAATTCTAGACCGGCAAGTGAAACAAGTACGGAATTGGGAGATTCCAATGATGAAAATTGTGTGGCAAGAACATTACGGGACCGAAGCGACTTGGGAAAAAGAAGAGGAAATGCAACACCAGTATCCGTATCTGTTCTTATCCTAAGCTAAACCAAGTTTGAGGGACCAAACTTATTTAAGGGCGGGAGAGTGTAATAACCCGACTCTCGTATATGTTTCTGGTATACTTTTAGTCCCTTATTTTGTGCATTTAAATGCTTACTGTGAAAATTTATGTGAAATTAAACTTAATTAAGTGAATCCTATGATTATGGATGCATCTCTGTCTAATAAGAGAAATATCTGTTACAATTATATTGTCCGGATCAGAAATTGGAAGCCTTAGAAGCTTAATTATCTGAAATTGACTTTATATTTATGATCAACATGATTTTTAGGTCATAATATGATTTTCTTTGAAATTTCAATTTGGAATGATTAAACTGGTTGATTTTTGTCTTTATTCACTTTTATATAAACTTAGTTATTTAAACACTTGACTCATGATCCTTAGCTCAAAATATCTTTTGAAAGAGAGAGTTGGAAGAGGATAGTTAGGGAAGAAGAGGAGAAGTTTACCTAGGAAGGAAAATTGGTGAAAATTGAGAGGATTGGTAGAGATTTGAACCAAGGTATGTAAACCTCACCTTATATAAGCTTTTTCTTGGATTTGAGTAAGCATGTCTTTCATGCGTGAGAACTAGGGTTATGTTTGAAGCTTTGTGTGTAATAATGGTTTAATTGGAGACTTGTACTTACCATAAGATTGTCTTGGGATTTAATTTGAGTTAAATGAAGAAATTTCATCTTGCTTCCTTGTTATTTCATATAGAAACCCATCTATGTGCTAGATTATGTAGTTAGATGGTGTAGACGTCCCCGAACGCCCCGGGAGGACGAGTCCCGTTCTGTTCGTTTTGGGTTCACTACAGTTCAGGACTCTCAAATTGTCGCGGTCCTAAATATGAACCAAAGAGTCCAAATCCGACAAATCGTTTTGAGAAAACAGATTTTTAGAAAAGAAGTGCCAAACATGGACTGCTTTGCCAGATACAGAGTCGCCACCTAAATATTTTTTATGGGGGAATTTAGGAAACCCTGACTCGGTGCCAAAGGCCACGTGTCCGTCATCCACCAAAGTTGCCTCGGCTCAGGAACTTGGGTACGATTGGGAAAGGTCAGCTATGAGCACCCCATCCTCGCCCGATCAAAGATCGGCCTCTACTAACCATGATATCAAGTTTTGAAAACATTATGTGCTCTTATTCCGGTTTATTAGCCTAGAATTACTATGTTATGCGCACAGCAAACAAGTATAGACCAAATCGCCTAAATTGGAACAAAAGCATTGCATGTTTGTTTTGAAAAACAGTTTGAATTTGCTACTCACAAGTAGGCTAAAATACGGATTTCAATGAGTTTTTCCAACTCAAAACAATCCAACCTTCACCCACAGGCATTCAAGCAGTTTATATCACATAAGCATCTAGCCACATGGTAAGCATGCTGTCATGTTGACATTCACACTCATGCGAGATGCTAAAGCATAGAAATACTTACAATGTACTCCGAGCCAAGACAAGAACATGTTAGCAATCAATGCATGATCCAAGTCCATGTTAAGTGGCTAATGCAACGCATACAGAATGCAATCTAGAATAGGCTCAGCTAATCTATGGATGACATGTGAAAATGCACAGATAGCATGTATTCAAGTTAGATTTGAAATACTTTATGCAGTTAGCATGATCCGCCGAGCCTGGTGTATGCAAGACTAATGAATGATGCACGCATGCATAGCATAAGGTATGCTAAAGTAAACATGTCCTAATACTAACCATCAAAAGCAGGTAAGTAAAAGGGAGAAATAAGTAGGGGTTGGAAGACATGCACACACGCACCCACACTTATTACAAATTTGCCCTCGCTCGGAGGGATCGAAAGAATAATACAAGTTAATTAACCTACAAGCTAATTAAATATTACAGACCAATTAATTAATTAACAAATTGACTAATCTAATGAAAGCAGTAAACAGCCTCGGGAAGAGGGCCCAATGCAATGCACGCTCAGCCCCGCTTGAAAAGTCACTG